TGATAAACAACCGCAGCATTGATCATCAGACCACCATTTCCACCAGCAGGACCAACCATTAACCTTTGCCATAAGATACCCTTTACTCCATACCAAATCACTTTCATAGCATCTATCCATGCCAAATTTGGTATCAAGTCCATGATTATGCCTCCTCTCTTCCTTTCCATGAGTCTCTCGTAAGCTTCTTGTCCCTTGTCCCAAAACACAGCTTCGCGACCATGTCCGGAATGTATATGCCCAAACACATGAAGTCTAGGTTTGACCTTCCATATTTCTTCCAGTAATGATTTGCAACCTAGGTTGATATCGAGGTGATGGCGAGGCGGACAGTGTGTAATGAGAATATCTGTATCTTTCGGTACACGATTCTCCCACGGCGCAAGATGTCTTTGATATTGAAAACTGGCAATTGAGAATATGATTAGCATTCACATCCTCTCCAAAAGATTGGGGGCTTCTTACGCAAAATCAGAACCGCCACATTGAGGGATATCTGGCGATCCATAAAGCTTTAACTTTCTCCCGCCCTTGAATTTCAATGTGATAGCTTTGTTCTCCAAATAATGTAAACTTTTAAAATTCAATTTCCTCTTCTTATCTTCTTCTTTCCTCGATCTGGGATCAAAATAACTATCATGGTTTCCACAGATAAATACTTTCTCTCTATGTGGCTGTTGGTCCAACCAATCTATCTGGGCCTGTATCTCTTCCACCGTGCCCGCGTTCGTCAAATCTCCTGCATGTATTAAAAGATCACCCGGTGGAATTGGTATTGTATTGCAATGTGTGTCTGAGATACAAACAACTCGAACCGAAGGTTTGTTTCGGGGAGGTTTGAAAGATGTGCCACGAAAATAGAGGAGAATGGTATGGAGATAGAAGATCAATGTGCGGAGAGGAGATTCAAGGAGAGAATCAAGAGGAGTTGGAGGATCAAATATATTGTTTCGACGAGACCATGGGTATATGGTCTTTTGTTTGGGTGCCATGATTGAGGGATGCTGGCGCCTGTTGGCGGATATCAGGTAGTCTTAGCAATTTGCGGTTGAGTGTTGATCAGATATACCTGTGATCAGGACAATCCTCAATTAAGAGTTGCCTTTCAGAATCCAGGATAAAGTAGACACATTTCCATAAAGCATAACCGATATTGGAATTCACTAGAGAAGGCAGTTAGTTACTAAGGTTGTCTATTGTACCCGTACCTGGTCAATTGATACTCAATCGGAATAGAACGTGGGGTGTGTGTGTGTGTGTGCTCTCTGCAAGTTCACCAAAAGCCAAGCTTCAAAAGAGGTGACGTGACAAGGATAAATTCAGGATCCCCAAATTTAGCGACGATTTCGTCATGGATGTTTGATGGCTTGATTGAAGCTTGTGTGAATATTATCATTCAACAAAGAGCTGGTTATTTACCAACTTTTCACCTCTTGTTGATTTTATATCTTCTTCTATATATCTGCGGAAACTTGAGTCGAGCAAAGTTCTTCCGGCAGATTTGCATCGACAATATGGCTTCGCTCAAGAGTATCTACGAGCCAAATCCAGCTCTTGGAAATGCTTTGAATACTAATTTTGAGTAAGTGAACAGGAGGGGTTCATGAACATTAGCTGATCAGATTCTACACAGAGTCGACTTCGTAATCGATTATCGTTTTGCTACTACAAGTATGACAGCCCAATGCTTCCCATCCAATTTCGCAGATAACTAATTTACCCCGCCAGACAAAGTCGAAGCCGAAGCACAATTCGTGAAGCTCATTGAAGCTCTCAACGATGTTGGATTAATGACTGAGGTGCGAAATGGAGATAACTGTTCACTTCTTATATTCGTCAAAGCTGCTTCGGACAGACATCTACGATCCGAAGTATATCGCTCCAGAGTACAAGATTGGCTATATGGAGTTCGGACAGCTGCACCAGAAAAGAATATGCAAGAGGCTTTGAGTGCGGAACCAATGACTGAAGCTGAAAGATTAAGATTGGTCTACCTATTGATCACCAAACCAAGAAATGAAGGCGGTGCTGGAATCACGCCTAAGAGAGGGGAGTGGAAGGGAGTCGAATCGATATTTCCTCTTCACGACCATGAATTCAATAAGGCCTGGATTAAGGAAATTACCTCCAAGTATCTTCTCACAAACAAGGATCTAGAGGATATCAAAGACAGATTTGGTGAAAAGATTGGATTTTATTTCGCCTTTCTACAATCTTATTTCATGTTTTTGGTATTTCCTGCGGCATTCGGATTTTGCGCTTGGGTTCTCTTTGGTCAATACTCCCCAATATATGCCGTAGTCAATGGCTTGTGGGGAATCGTCTACACGGAATATTGGAAGAAACAAGAAACCGATCTTGCAGTACAATGGGGTGTTCGAGGAGTATCCAAAATTCAACACAAAAGACCTGACTTCAAGCATGAAAGGGAAATCAAGGATCCAGTTACTGGAGAGCAGATCAAGTTCTACTCTCCAGTGAAAAGATTGAGTCGTCAATTGCTACAAGTACCTTTCGCTCTCTGTGCTGTTGTTATACTGGGAAGTTTGATTGCAACTTGTTTTGCAATCGAGATCTTCATTTCTGAAGTTTACAATGGTCCATTCAAGGCATATTTGGTATGTATATTGATCATGAATTTAAACTTAGCTAATAACAGACAGACTTTCTTACCAACTGTCATCCTGACAGTTTTCATGCCAACACTGTCTGTTCTTTTGACCGGGTTTGCCTCGAAATTGACAGATCTTGAGAATTATGAAACTACTGATGGTAAGTGACTATCCCATGTGCCCTAGTTTTAATATTTCTAACCTTCAATAGCACATGATGCGGCAATGGTTCAAAAAATCTTCGTCCTCAATTTCATAACATCTTACATGCCAATCTTCCTCACAGCATTTGTCTATGTTCCATTTGCTCAGCACATCGTCCCTCATCTCGATATTTTCCAAATGGCCGTGAGACCATTCGCGGAGAATGATGAACAAATGACAGCACCAAAAGCAGGATTCCAAATTAATCCCGACAGGCTAAAGAAACAGGTCATCTACTTTACAGTCACAGCACAAATCGTCAATTTCGCTCTCGAAGTTATTGTTCCATACGTCAAACGTAGCGTCTTCAGAAAATACAAAGAAGTCCAAGCAGATCGTGCCGCCAAACGTGGAGGTTCCTCAACACCGGAAAGTGATCATCCAGAAGAGGCCGCATTCTTAACCCGTGTAAGAAATGAAGCCGAATTGGGCATCTATGACGTAACAACAGATTTCCGAGAAATGGTTATTCAATTCGGTTATTTGTCCCTCTTCTCAGTCGTTTGGCCTCTTACTGGTATTTCTTTCTTGATTAATAATTGGATTGAACTTAGAGGTGATGCTCTCAAAATCGCACTGGAAACTCAACGTCCTGTTCCATGGCGCGCGGATTCTATAGGCCCATGGCTTGATGCATTGGGTTTCTTGTCATGGTTGGGAAGTCTTAGTACAGCAGCTCTGGTATACCTATTTTCCGGGGATGGACTTGGACCGGATGGAACACCAAGTAAAATGACGGGATGGGGAGTGCTACTTACTATGTTTTTCTCCGAACATATTTATTTGACCTTGAGAAGAGGTATTCGATTGGCATTGAGTAAAATCGATAGTCCGGGATTACAGAGAGAGAGAAAAGAAAGATTTGCAGTTAGGAAGTATGTTGTTCCTGCCATGTTTGCTTCGTTTGTGCCCCTTTTCTCGTTCAAAGGGTATTTGTGTTTTTCTTTAAGACGTGAACTAATTGTGGACGTGATAGACAATACTTACAGGAAACAATATCGCAAGAAGCTGCGGAGAAGGCTGCTTCAGGAGGCATTACAAATGGGGAGAAGATTAGTAGAAATACGCTAGAGGAAGAAGCAAGAGAATCGAGTTTGAGAGGTCATGGAACTGCAGAGGAGAGGTATGTTTTAGAAGTTACGGAATTGCATGGGATAGTATCAGAGACTAACGAAATTAACAGATTCTGGCAGAGACAAAGAGGACAAGGGGAAACAATTGCGATGGGAAGAAGTTTTATTAATAAGACGGCTCCGAATATCGAATCGAAGAAGGAGCTTTGATTGGGTTTTCATTTTATTGTTCTTGATGACATTGTGGTTTGATGGGAAGGATAGGGGGAAGGGAAATGGGGAGACTCGGAAATGGAAATGACAATGGAAATCGGGAGAGAGGGAAAAAGCAAAGTCGAAGCGAGGGAGATATTCACACGAGCTTTATATGCGGTTTAATCATTTTCGATCATTCTTTTTTGCTGGTTTTGATTCTCTCGATAGTATCTATCTAGGTATGCATAGCGTGGAATAGTAATATGAATGGATGGAATGAAATGAAATATTGAAAATGAACAGAATGAACAGAATAAAAAATTTTTGTAAATCAATTTCATAAATCAACAAATCAATCGATTATATTTAATACTCAATACTCAACAAGCAAGCCAATGGAAAATAGACACCTTGACCTTAGTCTATCTCAATAAACTTACTTACTCCTGAAAATAACATGATATAAAATAAAATAACATAACATAACTAATAACTAACTATGGTATTCCGAATCTCAAATCTCAAATCTCAAATCTCAAATCTCAAATCTCAAATCCCATATTCTAGCTCCAGCTCCGACTCCAACTCCAGCTTCAAATCAAACCCATCCAATCCATCCAATCAATTCAATACCTATTCACCATTCAATCAATTCCTATTCTCCATTCAATCCAATACCTATTCAAACCCATCCAATCCATCCAATCAATATCTATTCACCATTCTCCATCCCAGCTCTACAAATCCCATTCTCCATCCCATCCCATCCCATCTCATTTCATCCCTGCAAATCCCATCCCATCCCATCTCACCTCATCTCACCTCATCCTATCGAATTCAAAATTCAAAATTTAAATCATTCACCTATCCATAGATATTCAGAATCCAGAATCCAGAATTCGACTTGCATCCCATATCACCCAGAGTACTTAGGGATTTCCTCTTCTTTCTTTCTTTCTTTCTTTCTTTCTTTCTTTCTTTCTTTCTTTCTTTCTTTCTTTCTTTCTTTCTTTCTTTCTTTCTTTCTTTCTTCTTTCTTTCTTTCTTTCTTTCTTTCTTTTTTGGGTGCGTTTGCATTTGCGTTCGCCCTTTTCTTCATCTTTGCCTTTATCTCTGTATTGATTTTGATTTTGATTTTGATGCTGATATTGATATTGATATTGATATTGATGTTTATTCATATTCATGCTTGCGAGGTACATGTGTGTGTGTGTGTATATATGTCGTTATTATCATAGGAAGTCATAGTTGGGATCCCCTCCCCTCCCCCCCATTCCACCCACCCCCTAACTCCTCAACCAACTACTCCCCAAAATTCCCCCACTCATACTCCCATTACTCCCTCTATTCACATTCCCCGGCGCGCCCTTTGAAGCCGATCCTACACTTCCACTACTCCCCCTATTTCCACTTCCACTCCCACTTCCACCACCAACTAACCCACCATCACCCCCCGAAGTCCCCGGTCTCATCCCCACATCCACCTCCAATCCAGACTGCACCCCCACCAACGGACTACTAGGCGTACTCGCCGTACTCCCATTACTCCTCACGCTCGCCGCCCTCCGATGTCCATACCCCATCAACCCACTCAGCGAACTCCCACTTCTTTCCCTCAGCGCCTCTCCCTCTTTCTGCACCGGACTTTGTGGTCCCCTCACACTCCTATTCCTACTCAAACTAGAAGGAAAACTAACCATCCTCCCTTTTCCTCCCGAGAACCCAAAAGCTGCTCCTAACCCTCCTCTTTCTTTTTTCTCAATATCCGTGCCCAATATCTTCGACGCTTTAGCATTACCAGACGAAGAATCCGTACTTATTAAGTCCTCCACAAAACTACTCGGGAAAAGTCCCCATTTTCCTTTACTAGTACAGCCACTCCAACACCACTGATCTTGCCATGCATACCCTACACTATAGATTCTCTCTCCTTTCGAAAATTTAAGCCATCCTTCTTCTTTATCTTTCGGTTTCCAATCCCATTTCGCGACTGCTTGAAGAGAACTCTGTGGATTCATTTTTACTTCATCTCGCGGTGGCGAAAGGAAAGAAACAGTGTTTGCGGGAAAAGAACCTCGTTCACCATCATGATATCCTATACACCAAGTACCTCCAAAGCGTTCCGGAAACGTAATCCCCACAATTTTCGCACCGTCTGCAAAATGCATACTTTGCTGACCGTCAGGATCACGAAAAGTTTTGGCGACAGGTTTTGGATGATGGGTTGTTATTGCGTGAGCGGTAGGACGAGATGCTACTTTGGATGTGATCTCAGACATGCAATAGGGAGAAAATTTAGGTTCGTGGATGGTGAATTGAATGTCGAAGTCAAGGACTGAAGGAGGTTGAATTCCATAGACGGTTGTAATACCTGCTACTTGAGGAAGAGGACGAGGATGACGGGCTAGGTGACGAAATAGGGATGTTACGCTAAAGAAAACGGTTGCGTCGTGTTCTTCAACTGTGCGATGATCTTCAATACAGAATATACACTTGATTGGGATGTTAGTTATTTATTTGAGTTTAGAACGCAGGAAGAAAGGAATGGCTACATACACCATAGATAGGATCATCTATTGAAGACGTTTTAAGGTGACATTTGGAAATAAATCGTTGACGCCATCGAATGCCGGTATTAGAATATATACCAGAACCTATACACGAACTCAGATTAGCATCCTTTCCCACGCTCAAAAAGCAATTTACACATACGATCAAGTAATCTATCCTTTTCCACATCATTCCATCCAACCTCATAAGCACATTTAATACATCTCGCACTCAGAGTAGCACTATAATGGCCCTGATCCTTCTGTTAGTACAGAGAAACCTAAGTATTAGCAAGGGGGCGCGAATAATATCTGACCAATGAAACAATGAACAAAGTAAAAGTAAAGAACAGGAAATTCCACATACCGAAGGTCTCTTAACGACTTTAAACCCAGTTTCCCCTCTAATCATGGCTTTAGCTCCTGGACAAAATCCATCGAATTTATAAAACGAACTATCATGCCTCATAGGACAATCTATACTTCTCATTGAAGGAGTGGCTCTATGCATTGCTAATTGACTTTGACTTCGATTTTCTGGAATGGGATTCGAAGGTTGTATTGGTACTGGTTCGGGATCTTGAGTTGGTACAACTTCTAAACCACTTTCGATAACAGGAACAACTTCTAATCCATCTTCAACTCCGTTACCAAAACCAGGCAGTTGCAACGTGGTAGCTAAGGATGTAGTAGAGGTTGGAGTTGTGGTAGCAGGTGCTAGTCTACCCCATGAAGCTGGATCATGGATTTCAGACATTGGTGGACTAACTGGACTTTTCAACCATAATGAAGTTCCTGACTCCGAAGGTTGATATTCGCTAATACCGGGACTGACTGGCGTCGCTGATATTGGCGTCGGAGGTTTTAGCGAGGCAGTAGGGAAATATTCATTATCCGGTTTCGTCGTACTCGAAGATGCAGGTGTAGCATCTCGATCTCGTAGTGATCCATTTCTCGAACTTCCTCCCTGAGAAGTCTGACCTTGACTCCTTTTCCGTCCTATCAAATCATCATATCCACTTCCTCTAGAACTATGCCTCTCTATCGGACTACTAGCTGACGAATATGAGGACCAAGGAGATGTAAGCATCGATCCATCACTAAAAGTTTCGCTTGCCCTATTCTCTTCTATCGAGGAGACTGATTTCCGTATTTCGTTATGAAAAGACATACGAGACTGTTTTCTCCGTTCTAGGAATTCCTCATTCGCATTAAGTCGTTGATATACCAGTTCTTTAGCTATCAGTATTTGCTTTGAAGGTGGTGTTTCATATCCATATTTTGGAGGAGGCGTAGCTTGTATCGATTCTTGATAACTCGGTTCTGGAGATGGACCACGAGGAGGAGTCCTTGGTCCTACATCGAAATATGGTCCGCTCAGACTCCATGGATCTTCCTTTTTGGGAGATTTCCTTGGAGGATCTGATAACGAAACTTTATGATCAATAACTTGTCTATCAATCTGGGAGGGCAGTGATGAATATGGTGGAGCGGTGTGATTTATAGAACATGTTACCGGTGGTCTTCGAGGAGATTGTTCCATAATCGGTACATGTGCAGGACTCAATGGGGGAGATCTATCCTCCATCCGAAAGTGATGACGATCCGTCTGATCTATCCGATCCCGCAGATTGTTGAAAATAAAAGTACACTCCGTCCGACATCTTTTCGATTGTTGTTTAACATTTGTAAAAGCTGATGCTTGAAAAGATTCGAGGTTTTCATCGAAATCCTGACATTCATCAATTTGATCCCTCAGATCAATCTTAACCTCTTTCAATCGATTTTGAATAGATTCTACCACATCATCAGTCAATAACTCCCATATATCCCCATATTCCTTAACATCACTTACCATCCTCCATCAACGCCTTAGCAAAATCTTCCCCATATGATCCTACAGCATCTCTGTAAGCATCCGCAATAGCCTGACTAGTCTTTTCCAAATTCTTCTGTAAATTTTGTGCCAACTCCGATATATAAATTAAATTACTCGGCCCTTCGCTCGCAGATCTCGCAACCCTCTTCGTTAACTTTATCCCCGCATCTAGTGCCTTTATGATACCCTTTATGGGAGCCGCAAAATCGTCCGACATGTGGGCGGGAGCTTACGAGCGTAGCTCGCGAGTAATGAATATAGCTTCGAATAGTTCGTATATGAATGTATATTCCAGACGCACCACTTCACCAAGGACGGGATGACCTAATTCGCAAACCGTCTCCTAGCCCGACCGTCTCGCGCAAAGGCCACTCCACTTCCACTTGTACTAATCTTTATCGACAAATCTTGCGCCAGTAGTATTCGGGGTCGTGTTTACGTTCGCTTTCAATCGATAGATCGAAGGAGATGTGTGTAATATCGAATCCGTTTCCGTAATATCTAGCCCAATCCCTCCTCCCAAAAAACCAAATCTCAATCCGCGGTACTGTAGGGAATATAAAGAATGTAATGGTCAAATGTCTATACTATTTAAAGCAATAAATTGAACGATTGCGCAAGTAATCATGTATGCTGGCACGGTAGCACTTCGAATGAATGATGGTGAGGTCTGTGTCTGCAGGGGAAATGAAGAGCGCGAAAGGATGACTGCAGGTAGTGGTGTTGTGTTGCGCTGAGGCTCTTTGCATTACAATATGACATGTATGTAAGTGTAAGTAACCTTTGACTCGGTAGGTATTACTCGTCCACGGGTCGTTCAGTCTCTTTGGGGAGTATAGATGTATGCAGTATGACCATACCCGGAAGAGTAACCGTCCAATATCGAATCCACACAATTTACTGGCAGAAGGATGATCGAGAGTGCGATTCTAGAAGTAGGTATGTATGGCTATACAGATGTAACAAAAGGTACGATGCCCGAAAGTCCGTCTCCGTTGCCTTGCTACCCTCGTCTTGCCCTGCTAGCTGCTGACACACACGATACGTAGATAGATAGCCTTGAGAACGACACTTTGCCAGAAACCTACCAGAAACAGAAACCTACCAGACAGAAACTTTGCTTTTTCCATCGACCTTTCTTTCTTTCCCAGATTTCCATAGGATGCGAGCTCATGTCCTATAGAAATAAAGCTTAGGAACTAGAGGTCCCCACGTACCACTTCTTGTCAGCCCTGATCCACGCTGTGCTGCAAAGTGAGCACAGCCCCTGGACCGATTAAGCCCTGTGCTCTTCCATCTGCTATACAAGTACTGGGTCGTAACTACGCAGGAGAACAGGCTCTTTGAACTCTTCTATCCCTTTCACAAACGTAGATGATACCTTTGAACAGTTTCCCAACAAAACATGTGTAATTAAATGAAGTTTCAAAACTATTGGAAAGAAATTGTCCCCAAAAGAAAATATACCAAAAAAAGAAGAATCTTTTGACACGATACAAATCAGAGTAAAAAGGTACTTTAGCTCTAGCGGCTAGTCTTTCCACAATTTGACAGAACAGGAGGCCCACTATCGGCTCAGCCCGATCGTTCGTCCTATGTATCAAGGTATCTGTGTCTTCAAACGAACTTGTCGATGGAAAATCATTATCCCGCAAGGTCGGTGACCATTTT